ATATATATATATATATATATGAATTATTTGATGTTGTGTGATTCTGCATTGACTTTAATTAATAGCAATGTAGGTTGAATTGGTTGAACTATTTTCTCTTGTGTCAATCGTTATTGGACAGTGGTGGTGAAGGATAAGTTGTGCGAAATAGTGTGTTCTTACATTAATTACTATTGTAGCAATGTAAGATTAGTTAGACTATGTCTTATCTTAAGAAATCTTTAGGATCTTGCTGTTTATAGTGGGATAATGGGTTGGGTGTGATTAGGGGTGGGTATGCGGACCGGTCCGGCCCGTTTAAGGTCCGGTCCGCGAAGTCCGCATTTTTAACGGGCCGGATAAATCTGGTCCGCGAAATAAATGGACTTAAATCTTCAAGTCCGTATCCGGCCCGTGAAGCCCGCGGATAAACGGATAAGTCCGCGGGCCCAATTAAATCTAAATTGTTTAAATGAATATTGACTCAGATTTTAAATTTCTTTTCCTTTATTTAACCTATGAAAACATGAGGAAAAAAAAACATATAAAATGATATAAATATACTTCTAATAATAACATCAAACATTGTAAATAATAAATCAAAGTCTTAAATAACAAAGTTTACACATTCTAAATTTCTAATAGAAATATTTAAGTCTCAATGCCTTTAAAATTTAAAGTCCAAGCATACCAACTATTAACCAAATATTAAAGCCTTACTACCTTAAAACTTTAAAAGTCTTAATACACAACCAAACAAATATAAAACATTTGTAAGTCCAAGTACATCAAAGTCTAAATACCTTAAAACATCAAAGTCTTAATTAATATCTTAAAAACAAACATAAAATATTTGTAAGTCCAATTACATCTATCAAATATAATCAAGCATCTTCAATAATAAAATTTGAGTCCACATTTAAACGGGTAATCCACGGGCTCGCGGATTAAATCCGCAAAATCCGCGGACTAAACAGGTCGGACCTAAAAAGTCCGTATGATTATACAGATAAAAAAAAAGGGTCCGTTATCCATGAAGTTCGCGGACTTACGGACCGGTCCGCGGACTCAAGTCCATATACCCACCCCTAGGTGTGATAGAGGAATTCATGTCTTGTGAATGAGTCCTCTCTTTTTGTTATAAAGTTATCTTGATTCCCTAGGGATAAATACCTTGTGCATTCTATTCTCTTTCAAGTCATGTCATGATCGATGTTGGACACTTCCTATCACTAATTTTGGTGAAAATAAGTCAATTGGACATGTTTTAGGTAGCCTTCTTGGAGTAGCCTATCACTTTTGTAAATAGTTTCTTTTTGTCCTCACAAAAGTCATTTGATTTCCTATAATTGCTTTACCGATGTTATTATTTCCCAAATCATGAAGTGGTGAAAACTTATTTCTAAGGTCACATCTTATGTGACACAAATCAAGCTCAAGATGAAGACATGATCTTAGTTGATTTTGATGACTACAAATAAGCCTCTTGAGAGATAAGAGTGCAACTTATAGTTTATTTTAAATTTTGAGCCTTTTATGGATAAGACTGCAAGTTGTATTGTGTTTTGTGTGTTTTAAGCCTTATTGCTTTGTGTTTGGTAAGTAACTTAGCCTTTTATCTCTATATAGATGATGATTGATGATTTAGATATATGTTAGAATTGAATTGTAAAGAGAAATGGTATGAAAAATTGAAATATTAAGTTTTCACTTAAAATAATTTATTATTTCAAGTGATAATCGATTCTTTGCTCTATTTTTAGTTACTTGAGGAACAGTTGTTGGAATAATCGATTATTCAACAAAATAATTGATTATTTCAAAAATTGGTATCTAGAATAATCAATTATTATTTAAAATAATCGATTAAACTATTCTTGGTTGATTTCTAGAATTATAAGAACAAAATAATCAATTATCCATGTAAATAATCGTTTATTTTAATCAAAAATAACTAAAAACATAACACATCATAAATTCATATGAAATCTTGCATTCTAGTCATTTAGGAGAGCATAAATTTCTTCTTGACAACCATCATTCATGTTATCTTCATTCTCATTAATGGCATTAGCATCTCTTACCACTCCAACTCCAATTAATTCATCCTCTTAAATAGGAGGAACATCCAAATCGTCCATAAGTGTACCACCACCACCACCACTAGTTCCAGCATCTTATCCAACTTTAAGTATGTCTTCATTTAAGGAATTCAAATATGAAATTGGATCATTTTTCTCCACAATCCAATCATCATTAGAAGAAAGGTCTTCGATACCATAGTTATTTTCCTTCCTAACTCGCTTCTTGTTCAATTTGGAATTAGTCATGACATAAACTACATCATTCATGGTCTTTTGCAGCAAACGATTCATTTTCTTGGTGTGAACCTAAATGAAAAATTAATTATCATATAATAGGAAAAAGAAAATGAAATACATTATACATATACTATTTTGAATTGAATTTTTACCCTCTCAAAGACACTTCAGTTGCCTCATAGCTAGATGAACTACATGTCAAACTCAACCCGAATTGCAAATTGTTGCAATTATGGATGTTTATCTCCATTAGATTCCTACCAATATGGTGGACTTTTGGTATTAAGAGCACATTGATTTATAGGATGACCAAAAAGGTCTTCTTTTAAAAATTCCTCAAATTGGTCATCAATTTTCCTATTACTTCAAAGTCTCCAATAATTTTTTTAGGCAATCGGTGAATCCTTTCTTAACTTCCCAATCAACTTTAAAATTAAGAACATAATGTAGTATGAGGTTATGGTAGTAGCCTACAACATGCGAAGACCTATGTAATTGTTTGTCCCATCTTTGATCAATAATTTCTCATAAGGGAATATAGCTATAAATGAAAAAAATATATAGTTTTCAACCAAAGTCTATAATTTATAAAATGAAACACATAGAAGATAATTGTTTATTCTCATCTCCTCTATAAACATCTTGTATCTTTTCTTTAGCTCGATTCATTTCTTTATAAATGAACCCTGTGGCTGGATTTTCATTTGAATCCACTAAGCGCAATATTTTAACTAAGGGAAAAATACCTCTCATACAATTCAAAACATTTTTCCAAAATCCCTTATCTGTAACCAAATTCTCCATAGGCTTTCCATCCTTAGGCTTTGCTAATTGACTAGAAGTCTATTCTTCAGATGTGAACATTCTAGTTAATGGACCTTTATTCTTACTCAAGCATCCCAAGGTTAAGTAGGAAGTAGCAAAATGAGTCAAGCCAGATCTAATCAAGTCACCCCCTTAGTAAATTTATTATGTGATAAAGTAATAAGACTTGTTCTACCATAGATGTATGATGTGATCCTTCTACCAATTGTAATTGTTTCACTATGAAATGGTATATTTTTCTCAAAAGTATCAAGCATTAAGTCAATGCAATGAGTAGCACGAGGTGTCCTATACAACTTAGTCCATTTGTCATCAACATTCTTCAACTACCTTGTAATTTGTTGCGTTGTTTATGATAATATGGACAACATTTTCCTCCCTAACCCCCTCAACCACATCATTTAGCATCTTAAAAAAATTTTCATTTGTCTTGCATATCTTGGATGCATGATAGGCTTCAAAAAAATTGTTCCAAATGAACTATTTACTAAAAAATTTAATATAGTCCTTATCCTCCCAGCAATCCATCCATTTGTCATTATTGTGCATCCTAATTTCTTTCAAATAAGTTCTATGATCATCTAAAGAAAGATTGGTCATTTGAATATGATATTTTAAGTATTTCACCCTAATCTCATGGTAGGATGGTGGGTCAAATCTTGGACCGTGTCGAGCAACTGAAACATTTTCTTATATGCTTCATTGTTGGCTACATTATAGGGGATAACATTCAAATAAAAAAAATATAGCAATGTCCTGACATACTTCCTCCCTCAAATCATTCTTAAAGATCTTGTTGATTATATTTGAGAGCTGACTTTTCTCTTGAAAATATTTTGATAGCTAATATTACCACCTTCTAATTGAATAACAAAACTACTACATATTACTTCAATGTCACCATATTTTTTTAGGAGGTTCTGTTGCAATGATGAAACAATACCTAACATTTCTTTCTTAACATCTTTAGGGACCGATCTATATGTTCCAGCATCTTTAAATGTTCCTGCTAAATGGTGTTTCAAATGATAAACCCCTTTTGTGAATGTCTTTTCACAGAATATCTTTACTGGTTCAATGATAGGTTTGATTTTAAAAATATTGATTAATAATATAAATCATATTTGTCAAAATCAGATTGATCTGACTAATTTGATTAATCTGATTGGAATCAATTTGATGACTGATGTGATGTTTCAAAACTAATACAAACTGGTCAAATCAATTCAAAATAAGTCAATAACTGATGTGTAAAAACTAGATTGAATTGACCTGTTTAATAAAATTATTTTTTATCTATAATTTTAAAAAAAATATTTTTATGATAAATAGATAAATATATTTAATTAAATTACAAATTAAAATAATTTATTTATCTATCATTTTTAATAATTTTTTATAAAATATAATTTAGTCATTTATATTAATTTATAATTTATTATGATATTTTAAATTTTATATTATATTAATTTAAAAAAATTAATATAAAATGTAAAAAATTATTATTGATAATATATTATTATATTTCGTTAAAATTAAAATTTAAAATTAAACATCATATCTAAACTTTATCTAAACTTTAAATATTAATTAAGTCTTTTATTAAATGATTGAATTTATGCTCTTAGACTTTAAGAACATAATAATGATTTGGATTTTAAAATATTACATCATCTTCATCTATGTTTATAAAATAGAAAATTAGAAAGAATTTCTCTAATCTCAAAAACATCATCACTCCTTACAACACCCTAAATTTAATGCTCGGGTAGGACGCAATTTATTGACAATACGGCGTCTAAGTCTTTCAAATTTTGAAAAAAAGAAAATTATTTAAAAAAAAAAAAAAAAACAGATAAACCACCACCACCACTCTGGAAAAGTCCTGTCACTTTTACAACTCAGTTCACTCTTCTCTCTCTCTCTCTCTCTCTCTCGTGCCTTCCCTTCTTCCTTGAAACTTCAAACCCTAAACAAAACCATCAATTTTCCCCATCAACCCCTTATCCTACTCCCATTATTATATATATATTTGAATAAAAAGAAAAGAAAACATTTACACTCTCACACTCCAACTCACCTTCTTAAATGGGTGCACCAAACCCAACCCAAACGGACCATGGGCCCTGACCCACTTCGCCGGCAATGGGAAAGTCCGGACAACAACAGCACCCTCTGCCCTCCGCCGAGGATCCGCGGCGGAATGCGGCGGCGGAGGCCGGACGCGCCTTTTCCGTCGGACTCCGATGCCTTATTGTCTTGCTTTTCTCGCTCGCGCTTTTCCTCTCCGCACTCTTCTGGCTACCTCCATTTGCTCCCGACGCAGATCCCAAGGATCTGCATTTGAATTCAAAGTACAAAGGTTCGTTCCTAACTTGTTATCGTTTTTAGCACCAATTGCTGTTCGCTCTCTCGCGCTTTTCTTTCTTTCTTTGTTTGGTTTTTTTTTTTTTTTTTTTTCTCTTCGTCGTTTTATTTTAGGGAAACTTTAATTGAGATAAAATCGCCATGGACATATTTGGTGGATCTGTTTCTATAATTGGTGTTTAATTTTTGTTTTTATGATTATAGCAATGTGAGGGAAAAATGGGAAATGTAAGTGTTTAATTTTTAATTTTAGGTTTGTTGTTAAATTTGTTAGCGCGGAATTAATGTTTCCGCCTGTCGGTAAAATACAGCGTTTTTTATTTTTGTTTTTTTTTTCGTAATTTTTTTATTGACCGATAATAGCAATGTGGGGAAAATAGGAGATTTGTTTGTCGGATCTTGTTTTGATATTTAGGAAATTATTATTATTATTATTATTATTATTATTATTATTATTACTTTCCTCGTATCCAGGGCTTGAACTTTGAAGAATTTGATTTGTGGACATGGCACTTCACTGATTTCAGACAAACTTCAGGGAATGCATTCGAAACATCTAGAGCTAATCACAATATCCTGCGCTGAGTGAATATAGCAAATATAAGTAGAGAATAATTATCCCTTGATAAGTTAATTTTGTAAGGTCGAGTAAGACACTAGTTATAAAGTTGATTTTATAAGGACGAGTGAGACACTAGTTGGACATTCTAAGACAATTTAAATTTTAATGATGTAATTATAGAAATAGAAATTATTCAGTGTGCACGTGAATACTATAGTTTCCCAGTTTTAGGATCTGACACAATCATATGCGTTGTTGTGAATTGTGGTTATGCTGGGAATATTGCAGTGAGAATTTTGTTTTTGGGAAATTAGATCTATAAATTTTTTAATCTCTTTGATGGTTGAGGAGAAGTTTTGTTGCAACTCTATATGACAAGAGCCACTAGTGGCTAGGTGTAATGGTTACTCACACCATTGATGTTGATATGAGCAGTGAACATATCTTTCCCCATATAGATGCTTGATTTGTGTAGAACTTTACCTGTTATTGCAAGAATGAATGGAGGTGTTGTACACTTGTACTGTAAGCGATAACTTGGAAAACTATAAGAGGAGCTAAAGGTGGAAATGAAAAGGCAACAATATGAGGGGTTGTTTGATTTTTAATTTTGAAAACTTTTTTTTAAAATAAAAGACTCGTTCAATGGAAGTTGTTTATAAAAGTAATATTCTTTTTTGGCATTTTTTAAAATAAAAAAGAACATTTTTAAGCTGTTTTGGTATATTTATATTCAGTTTATTGTTGCTGGTGCTCTTCTTTGCTCTATTCTTTCTTCTTTTCCCACACTTACTATCCAAAAGCTAGTTTTTGAAATTTGTTTCATAAGTAGTTTTTAGAAGTTTAAAAAAAATTTACCCTAAATGGTTAAATACTGGAGCAGAAAAAAGGCAGTGGAGGCCGGGACAAATAAAAATGGGAATTTTGTTGCCTGGTGCAATATTGGGGCAGCTAGCATTGGAATATGTGTAGTTTTAAATATTCACCAAAAAAATGTAGTTTTAAATATATTTCTTTAGTATTATACCTTTTTTCCTCATGCTTTTGCATGGAATTAGGGCCACATATCCGATGCAATATTCTCATTTCTGCTACAATATTTATTTTCTTGTGGATATTGAGTTGATTGTTGGAATGCTTAAAGGAATTAATTTAATACATAAACACGTGAAATTAACTGTCTTTCTTTTTATTTTTGTCTTGACGTGTATGGGATTAATGACAAACTAAATATCGAGTGGTCAAGTATCAGAAATTTAAAGTATCAGAAATCCATTTAAATAAATCATCAATATTTATCGCAACTGTACATGTCTGTAATGTTTTATGTAATTTTGATTTGTAACTAGCTAATAACAATGACTCTTTTTGTCATCATATTATTAATGTGAAGTACTAATAAGTATCCAATGATAACAATTTGATTGGATATTTGCATATTAATTTGTCTCTATTTTCATGTATTTTATTCTTTTGGAAATTCTGTTACCAAGGAAAGAGTAAGGGAACAAAGTCAGCCAGTAGAAATGTGTCGGCACATGCACTGTTTGAGTTGAGAAATGAGATCTTTTGTTTCCGTTCTGGATATGGTATTATTATGTCCCTTTTGTGATCATTATAAGTTGCTCAGAAAAAATATTTTATATTTTGAATACGAGGTTTAAAGCCAGTTTAAGCTATATGATATTATTAGCACTCAACTGGAAAGATCTCCTCTTGTTTCAATAACTATTTATTACATTATGTTGGAAAGTCTCACATTCTCTGCCTCAATTATTCTGGTGCAGTTTAACTACCTGTTAAACAACTTCACCAAATGCCAATTGATTTAAGATGAAATCTAACACATTAGTTCTTGACTATCTCACATTTGTTGATAATGGTATTTAATTATCCATTTGATAAATTAGTATAGTTATTGCATGTAGCAAGTTACAGTAAGATAAAATCAAGATTAAGCAGCCATACATGGTATTAAAATTTTATGTTTTCAGTGAAACCCAATTTAAAAATGTTCACCTTTAAAATTGACAAGTTATCTCTTTCAGTTTGGTATTGGTCCTATGGTGCATTATTTTCCAGTGTCTTTTGACATGTTTCTGAAAGGGGTCAGTTTGATACAATCTTAAAACTTTTAGAGATAACATCCAATTGCTTAGAATGCATTTTGACCGAGGCATGTGCTTCCTGTTCAAAACGTGTATATGATGCAACATTTATGATGAACCATTGAATGTCATCTTTCAATTTTATGATACATAAAATTGACCATGTAATTATATATTTGTGGGCTTCTAACTCTTATATGCTATCATATATTATATGATTTATAAGATACAGGATGCAATGTAATTACTGATATAAGCATGTTTATCTAGCCTGTTTCACTTAATGACATTGTTTTATTTTTTTCAGATCATGATATTGTTGCAAGCTTTTATGTGCAGAAGCCAGTTTCTTTGCTACAAGACAACATTTTGCAGCTTTCTGATGACATTTTGGAAGAGATAGGGGTTCCCTCTATCAAAGTACCTCCCTCGTGGTTTCATTTAATGAACTTTATTAATATTATTTGATACTTGATATTGATGTTATTCTTATATTTTAAAATCAGGTGGTCATCTTGTCTCTAGATCTCTTACCACGGATAAACAAGACGAAAGTGGTGTTTGCAGTTGATCCTGAAGATAAAAATTCAGAAATGTCTACAGCTTCCATTAGTTTGATAAGAGCATCATTTAAATACTTGGTTATACGCCAATCATATCTCCAGCTCACTACATCCTTGTTTGGTGTACCCTCCTTTTTTGAGGTGCTGAAATTTAAGGGAGGGATCACTATCATTCCACAACAAAGTGTGTTTCCTCTGCAAGCAGTGCAAACATTATTCAACTTTACTTTGAATTTCTCCATTTATGAAATACAATTAAATTTTGAGCAGCTGACAAGTCAGCTTAAATCTGGACTGCATTTGGCACCTTATGAGGTTTGTCATTATTATTTCATTTCTTACTGTTTTTGTTGTATGCTCTTGATTTTAATTACTTTATAAAATCATTCTGTTCTAAAGTTAAACTTCAGTTCTGATGTTATGACAAATCTATGTTGTGTAATTACCTCTGGATTCTGTGTGGGGTCTCTGTCAGTTACGAGTGAACCATGTTTGATGTTGGACTCTATAAGCACAAAGATTAATACTCCATCCTGTGTTTTATATAAGAAACAAATAATTGATTCGTCAAAACCAATAAAAATAGTTAAGGTAGTAAATTTTTATTAATAATGTTATAAAATTAAATTTTATTCCAAAAACATCTTTTGAATTGAATAGTTTAAAATTTAAATAGTGGTTGCATTTAATGACCCTATCTTAATTCAAGAGATAACTTTATTCACCAATGAGTGTAATTTGTACTATTGTTAAATAGATTAGTAAATGCATCCACTTGCACATGGATATAAAAGAAAATTAATAATTAATATATCTTAAAGTAGGTATTTGTTTCTTATAATTAAGACCCATAAAGTACATCAATTTGACTCTAATATAGAAGACCAAATACATAAAGCATGAAAAATAAGCAAGCTTTCCTGCATGTATAATCTTTTATTGCGTGATGAGAAAGTATCCTAAATTGAGGAATTCCCT